TGAAAAAAAACATTTTGTCCACATTTTATTCGACAAACGTAAAAAAAACACCAAAAAATATTTTATCTTTTTCAAAATAAACACCACCTAATTAAAAATGAAAATATAAATACAGATTCGACTCTTTTACACCCTGTTCCCGAGTGGAATTTAAGGAGCGATTTGGAGAGAAAGGGAGGGAATCAGAGAGAAAGTGATTGTCGATCGTGTTCCCGAGTTAATTGGTTGGAATGATTCAGAAAGAAAGGAAAGGATTTGGGAGGATTAACTTCTCTCCTAATCTTCCTCCCAAATTGGAGTGATTTGGAGAGAAGAGAATCCGTGATGAGATAAATTTCAACGTATTCCCAATATACCCCCTATATAGCGACTTCTTCTTCACACATACAACACACAAGCGGCGTCTCTTCCACCTCTGCATACCACGAGCGACTCCTGCAATCTGCTGCTATCAGGTTTCTTCTTCTTCACCCCAATTTTCTCCATTTTTTTCTGCTTCATTGCTTCCATTAGGCGTACACTGTGTTCCTGTTTTTTTCTGTTCAAACAATTTTCCTGCTTCATTTTTTTCCTGCTTCAAGATATGGGAAACAATTACATTCGTTCATGGTAAAAAATGGAAATAATTAGTGAGTGTTGATTTGTTTTGGATGAAATTGTGGTATTGTTATTACTTTATGTTGTTGTATATACATACTCCTGTGACTTTTTTGATGCTTAGACTAAATACTGATGTCTTATGTTATAGATTCAATAAATTGTTGGCTTCCTGGAATGTTTACTTTGCCATTTTGCCCATTTGGTGAATATGATTTATTACTGAGATTGGATTTCTGTTTGATGTTTTAAACTTTCAATCATGTTGAAGAAATCACTCATAGATTGAATGCCTCTGTTACATAAAATAAATAAATAAATAAACCTGGCCATAAGCTAAACCAGGAGCATTATATCCTTGAAAAAAAAACCATCAACAAGAGGAGAAACACACTCTTCAAACATGGAAGATGATGGGTTCCAATAAACATTTTTTATGTGATTACAACAATTTGCATAATTTCTTGGACATTTTTGCCCTTGGTTGTATCTTTCTTTTTTTGTTGGTCTATTTTGCCCTTGGTTGTAAATGAACAATTGGCAAGTGTTCTTCTGTATATGCATATGCGAACAAATGAGACAAGATTAGAACTTTATTGCTCAGGATTCCCTAAACTTCAACTTTCTATCGTGCACACATATTTAACTTATTTAGGGTAAAAAAAATATCATATGATATTTTGGTCATACAATTCAACCATCTTGTTTAGTAAAATTTTGCTTATTTGACCTCCTTTTTTATGTGATTACAACAATTTGCCTAATTTCTTGGACTTTTTTGCCCTTGGTTGTATCTTTCTTTTTTTTCTTGGTCTATTTTGCCCTTGGTTGTAAATGAACAATTTGCATAATTTGTGTTTTTATTAATGTTGCTTTACCCACATTATATAAAAGTAAAACATATTAAATTGATTTTAATATGTATTGATTCAAAATCATTCAACAACTATGAAAGTAATTTATTATTATAATAGTATATAATAAAATAAGACAATTAGATTAATATATATAACATTTTCATACAATAGATAACATTTTCGATGGATAGTGAGCTACAAACACCTGCTCAATTTCTCAGACTCAGGCAAAGACAAGTAATTCATCTGATTTGCTTGTTGATGGCCATTTTGACACATCGTGCCCTTGCCAACACAAACCGTCCCAAATTACCCTATAGAAAACTTATTTTAAAGCGACGACGTATACGTGAACAGTTGCTACACGACCTTTCAAATGGTGGACAATGTCGTGAACTTATCCGTATGAGTGAGCAGGCTTTTAAGAAATTGTGCACTATCTTACAACAAGTTGGTGGTCTTCGAGCTACTCAACGCATGTCCGTTGAAGAGCATGTTGCAAGATTTTTGCACATTGTCGGCAATGATTTTAGAAATCGATTTGTGTCTTGGCTATACCGTCGCTCTAAATCCACTACAAGTAGGTGCTTCCATAGAGTTCTTCGAGCAATTATATCACTGGAAAGTCATTATATTCAACAACCAAAAGGTGACGTTGTACAAAAAGAAATTCAAGAAAAAAAACGATTTTATCCTTACTTCAAGAATTGTATAGGTGGAATTGACGGGACACATGTTCGTGTCAAAGTACCTAACAAAGATGCCCCTAGATATCGTGGTCGGAAGGGATACCCTACGATAAATGTCTTGGCTGCTTGTACGTTTGATTTAAAGTTTACGTACATTTTAAGTGGCTGGGAGGGTACAACATCAGACTCAAGGATACTAAAGAATGCACTCACTAGAGAAGATAAACTAGTAATTCCTAAGGGTAAATTTTTAATACCAAAATTAGTCTTATGTGTAATCTAATTTTTAATACATAATTAATTACAACTTATTTGTAGGCCGATACTATTTGGTAGATGCTGGTTTGCCTCATACAACTACACTAATGGCACCATATCGCGGTGTCAGATATCATTTGAAGGAGTATTCTGCTCGGGCCCCTGAGAATGCAAAAGAGTTGTTTAATCTCTGCCATGCTTCATTACGTAACGCTATAGAACGAGCATTTGGTGTTCTAAAGAGAAGGTTTCCTATCATTAGAAGTACACAAGAACCTTTTTATTCTTGTGAAACACAGTCAGACATTTTCTTGGCATGTTGTATTTTACATAACTTTTTGTTAGAAGAAGATCGAGACAAAAATCTTGTAGATGAGGAAATGCGCCATAATATAAGAGAGACAAGTGAGAGTAATGTTGCGGCAGAGCGAATGAGGAATTTAATTGCAAATCAAATGTGGACTGATTACTTGCCAAATCGAAACCATGAGATAGATATGTCAATGTAGCTACTAGTTTTTATTATAGCATTTCAATTTGATTTTGTATGGATCTTTTGTTTTTGACTTGATTTTGTATGAATCGTTAGTGTTTTGACTTTATTTGTGTTATTTATCTTTTGGACATGTTATTTACTCATTATTTGTACATCCTCTAAGTATGTATTTTTTATGTTATCAATGCTTGGTTTGTTTATTTATGATGTTATGCAGGTCAAAATGATGAAGGAAGAACAAGTTACTAAGAAAGAACACATAAAATGGACAGATTGGATGGATTATTGTTTTATTCAATCTATGATGACACAAGATGAGAAAGGATTAAGGATTAATGGGAGTTTCATCCCACAAGCGTACTCTAACATGGTGGAGGAGCTTAATGAAAAGTTTGGGAAGAGTTTAACAAAAAGTCATTTAAAGAATCGTTTGAAAACTTTAAAATCAGGTTTCTCGCAATGGTATGACATGTTCCGCGGAACTTCATTGAGTGGGTTCGGTTGGAATTCTAAAACACAACTCGGACGAGGAAGTGTGGGCCAACCTAATTAATGTAAGTTTCTTTTATTTCATGTTACTTAGTTTGTATACATTTATGTTATTTTTCTTAACAATAATTCTATTTGGGATTGTGTGTTACAGTCAAAGCCAGAGGCAATTTCATTGAAGTCCAAAAAAAATACCAAACTACAATGAAATGATAGCTTTGTTTGCGAGAGATAGGGCTTCAGGGGTGCATGCTGAAACCCCGAAAGAGAAGAATGCTCGACTGAACAAGACTGGGGATATCAAAGTAGAAACAATTGAGGAAGTGGATCAGTTACTAGCAAGCAATGACATAACACTTGAGAAACAACAAAAAAATAATGATGATGATGATGATGGTCTTGATGATATTCAAGTGTTATCTCCTACATGCTTTTCACCGGTGCAAAATTCAAGTTCTAAGAAGTACAAAAGTAAAAAAAAAGGAAACATGAAATCGAAGATGAAGATGAACCTGAAGTTGAACCTGAATCGTTTGAAAAGGTTATTATGAGTGCAGTTAAAGATGTGGCTTCTGCTATGAGGGAGGGTAACAAAATCTTCGAAAACTCTCATCATCGGGTTTATACTGGTGATGAAATTTATAAAGAGTTAGAGCCAATGGATTTGGAACCAAATGAATTTGCAGAAGCTCTCATGTTTTTGTCGCGAAATCAATCTGATACGGGGACATTATTTAAAGTTCCATTTAAAATACGAAAAAGTTTGTTGAAAAAAATGATGGGGGCAAGTAAATGTCTTACTTAGGATGGTAGTTTTTTGGTTTTTTTATCAGTTTGACTTCATACTTTTTGGTTTTTGGTTTGAGTTCATACATTGAAATTTGTTTGATTATTCTTGCATTGACTTTAAATTGGTTTCTTATGAATTTGTTTGATTATTCATACATTTATGTTATTTTTGGTTTGAGTTTATTTACTTCTTTTACCCTTTATATTGAATTTGTTTGAAAAAGTTATATAAATGAAGAATATACTAGAATTGTGATTAATAATGAATTATGCATTAACGATTTTTATATAAATAATCATGTAAAAAAAATAATTAAAGAAAAATAATTTAGGCATAGTTTTGTTTTCAAGAGAATCGTGTGGTATATATTTGAAATTATGGAAAAAAGGTGACAAAGGTATAGTTGTCCACATTTAGTTTTCATTTCTTTTCCTTCCAACTCGGGAACACAAAGAAAAATAATTTTCCTTTCCTTTCTCTCGAACTCGGGAACAGAAAAATACACTTTACTTTCCTTTCCATTCTTTTCTTTTCTCTCCACATTTCTCTTCTTTTCTTTTCTTTCCTTTACGCCTCGTTCCCGAGTTTAACAGAAGAAAAGAAGAGAAAAGAAAAGAAAGTCATGAGAGAAAAGAAGAAAAAAGAAAGGAAAAGAAAATTTTCTTTTGTGTTCCCGAATTAGAGAAAAGTGTAAGGAAAATGAATCATTTTATTCTTTCTTTCCAAATCCTCCCAAATCAGAAGGAAGGTTAGAAGGGAAAGTGATCCACCCATATCCCTCCACTTCCTTCCACTTTCATCATTTAATGAAACTCGGAACACCAATTTCTTTTATTTTCCTCTCCGTTCCACCCATTTCAGTTCCACCCATTTCCTTTCCTTTTTCCCTCGTTCAGTTGAACTCGGAAACGGGGTTAAATTCCACTCGGGATCAGGGTGTTAGAGAAAAAGTGCAAATTTCGCTGCCCATTATTTTTATATATCTGTTTTCATAACGGTGTACGGTGGTTCTTCAAGTTTCCCTAACAGGTAAGCAACCGATCACTCCTCCATTTTGATTCATTTGCCGCAGATGCGTGTTTCCCCTTTTGTTATTCGATTGATGATTGTAATTTTAAGTTTCATTTTAGCGGCGATTTATTAAACCCTAACGAAGACAATTGAATTCTGTGATTTTCCACAGAATCATAAACATCGGCTGTTGCCTCCACTGATTCTGGTATCGTCAGCTATGAATACGCGAAGGTTTTTCTTCTGTTTTATTTTCTACACCTTGATTTAATGTTGAATTTCATATGTTCGCGTGGTTTGCTGGTTAGATCAGTAGGTTATCGGTTCGGAACTGCTAGGATTTAGTTTTAGATCTAGTAATCTAAGTGTATATTCAAGTAAACATAATTTTACTCGATTCTCATGGAAATTGAGAATTAAGCGTATCTTAGATTCGATTCAGGTTCTTGTTTCTCGCATGAAGGAAATAACACATCTTTGCTTACATTATCGGTAGAGATTATATTCAACTTGCTAATATTCTGCTTCCTTTGTTGTTTGTTGGAATTAGTTTAGGTGTTGTTTGGACGCCTATTTTGAAAGCGATTATTGTCTATAACCAAAATCATAATAAGATGATGATACTAAGTTGATAAATTTTAGGGATAGATAGATAATCATATGTTTTTCTTACAACTTGTTACCTGTCCATTCACATACTGATTAAATCTTAGTTTCCCAAGATAAATTCATTAATCAACCTGCCTTAGCTTCCATAACTAGATTGAAGATTCAAACAAAATGTGTCTTAATATGTTATTGCAGTTTGCAAACATTTAGAAAACAAATTGTGCTGCATCATTTTCTATGATATCACAAGAACAACTGCGTATACAACTGCTTGTGACTGGAGTAGATGCAACGTGATTGATTTATTCAAAGTTTAAAGTTTAAACATGAATACTATCCTTTTTAATGCAGAGATGTGCGTGGAAACAGAGCTGCTCTATTTGATGAAATTGAAGATGGTGGAATTAGAGCCTCATCTTCTTACTCCTCCCATGAAATTGATGAACAGGAGAATGATAGAACAATGGATGGGCTGCAAGATAGGGTTCTTATGCTGAAAAGGGTAAGCATCAAAACTCAAAACATAATCATCTTAATAAATGAAACAAGTTTTACAAATTGTTATAAACAAATCCAAGATATTAATAATGTCAAATCATCTCAACAGTTGACAGGTGATATCCATGAAGAAGTAGAAGGTCATAACCGCATGTTGGATAGAATGGTATGTTAAAAATTACAAAAAATCTTCTATCTCTCTTGATAAGTTTTATAAATTTTATTATTTTTTTAATGATTAGGGGAATGATATGGATTCTTCAAGAGGTCTACTCTCTGGTACAATGGATAAATTCAAGACGGTATGTTGTATTAAAATTAGCAAATATTTAGTAATAATATTAAGAGATATATTAATAATTAATACACACTAAAACACACTGATGTTTTCAGGTATTTGAAACTAAATCAAGCAGAAGGATGTTTACACTTGTGGCTTCATTTGTGGTGGGTTTTTTGGTGATATATTATCTGACTAGATAAATAATTTGGGATTCAGATGAGAACCAAAATGGATGTTGGAATTTGCAAGTGGTTGTTTGTGTAAAGAAATCCGGATGAAATAGAGATTTATTTGTGTGCTGTGCTGTGGGTTTGAAGTTTGAGGATAAAGTATATCGACTTTTGACTGTTTGTACTTTGTATATGTAATCTGTTGGCTTCTATTATATATTTTTTTTTATCGTGATTGGATGCACACTTTTTCATGTTTATTTCATAAGAAAGGTATAAATAGAAAAAATTAGTAAATCTAATTGATCGACCAAAAAAATAGGGTAATTGCACCAGCCGGGAATCGAACCCGGGTCTGTACCGTGGCAGGGTACTATTCTACCACTAGACCACTGGTGCTTTTGTTTTAATCGTTGAATGTTAGAACTTATACATTAGTACTAAAGCAAAATAGTTGGTGATTATTTCCAAGTTATTTATTTTTAAATGGTTAATTTGGGTTGTATTTCAAAGTGATGAATCAAATGAGTAAGATTAAATAATATAGATAGATAAAAATTTATTTAAAGTATAATCAAAATGTAACTTTTTGAATTCAGACTTTCTCAAGATTGAGATACAAACATTATGTGTAAAAAAAAAATCGGCCACCTTAATTGTAGTTAAATTAAAATGTATACTTTCAACTGCAAGGGTGCGATGATGATGATATGCCTACATGTGATTAAAGCACTCAAAGGAGAATCCAATGAGTCAAAGAAGAACCCAATGAGTTGTCCATGTCAAGTCCTCATTGGCTAGTTGTGAACTATTCATTTGGCTGCTAAATCAATAGAGTTGGCTCAAACGAATGAGATTTATTCTAGTATAAAAAAATATATTAAAATGCATACATCCTTAATTGTTTTATTAAAGAATTACACTATAATAAAATTTTATAATCATGTTTAATATTTTAATTAATTATAAAATTTAATAGTTTTTTTATGACTGAAACTTAGGTTGTTTTGAATCAAAATATAAACTAAAGGGAAGCAGAAATTATTGAATTCACAGTGACAAAATGATCATATCTTTAACGCCAAATCGTATCTCTCCACGCAATAAGCCATGATACAAACCCTTCCTATTAGGCTGGACGGAATCATCGCGGGAAGAGGGAGCGGGAGGCTTCCCGCACGACGGAACACCGGACCGTCGGTGCGGGAAGCGGTGGTGCAGGAACCGGAGAGGGGAGGACTTGCCGCGTTCTCTCTCCGTCGATCATTGGCCGGAATTTATTTTTTTTATTTTTTTTGAATTAGCCATTGATTAATGGTAAATTTTTTTTTACCAACGGATATATGCATTAAAAGTCATTTTTTTAAACCTTTTTAAACACCTATAAATACCCAACTATTTACCTTCAATCAACATTCAAGTTTTTAATGGAAAACACCGATCATCTCTCGGGACCAGCTCTCGAGCTCGTGATGAAAAAGAAGGAAAAAATTCTGAAAAAATATTTTCCGTAGGTCGTTATTGGTTTGTTTGATTTTTTGTTTGTGTTTTTTTTTTAATTTTCTAGTTTTTTTTAATTTTAGGTTTATTGTAATTTTTATTTTAATTAATGAAATGCATTTTCTTTTTAATTAAATTTTTTGGTTATTTCTAATTTAAAAATTATAAATCATAAAAATCAATTAATTTTATTTATAAAAAAAAAAAATAGTGAGGGAAGCCCTTTCCACCCATTCCTTGGGTTTTAGGTGAGGGAAAGAAAAATGAGGGAAATGGTGGTGTGACCCACAAAAAGTGAGGGAAACACCCCTCCCATACCCTCGGGTCTTATGACTACCATTTAGACATCTTGGACCAAGGAAGATCATGCCATAAGGTATAGAGTTTGCACCGACTCTTTGGTAAGTGAATTTTAATGTTAAAGTTAAATGCTTTCATCATCTAATATTAATTTATGCGTGTTATTTGATTTCCATTTGAAGAATTAAAAAAGAAAAGTAATTTCTAGAAATGAGTGGATAAAGAATTAAAAAAAAGAAGAAGAAGAAGCATAAGAGATAGCAAGTTGAAGCAAGCTCCTTTGAACTGAAGATTTAAATATACACGATAAAGAATGATCACGAGTCTTTGAGCTTTATAAACGAATTGGGTCAAATTAGTAGGAATTTGTTTACTTATAAATGTTGTGTGTTTTTATGTTTATTTTGTCCATAGTTGAAGTCTTATATTAAATCATGCAAGATGGTGCATTTGATTGTCATAGTCCCTTCAAACTGATCATAATAGCTCACCTCTACAATTTCCATTAAAAACAACCATCTACACCAATTACTTTTCTATATCCTTCAATCTAACTATCCTTTACACCCTTCAAATATACATATATCTTTGAAATAAGACAGTGGAATCAAGCATAATATCTAAATCAATCTTCATTATTGATTTTGGACTAGACTTCAATCGGCGGTTTCCAAAATTTCATTAATAAATTGTTTTCTTATCCATGCATAGATGACATGGTGGTTGTGGAGACCAACCAAATAAATAACCCTAGAAATTGCACACAAAATAGTGTATAATGGCAAGGAGATCGAATCCACGAAGATGTTCAATTTGTAACTCTAAGAAAATCTTTTTGTACAAATACTTGTGAAACGAAAATAAAAGTAAAAATATGGGTTTTAATCTTTTGGTTGTTCAAAGAAACTAAAATTATACTAAGACTTGAAAATTACAATTCAACAAGAATAAAAGTTTGACGTAAATCAATAAGAGAGAAATAGTTGACTTTGACTTTCATCACATGTACACTTAGTTAATTATCATTAGACATTACGGTGCAAGACTTATGATTTAATTTAATTTGGCTATAGCAATCCGAGAAGCTTGAAATTACCTAAATTTTTCTTAGTTAGTAAAACAATTAAAGGAGATCATAACATATTGTAACATCCCAAAAACTAAGGATAAAAATTTCATTTTTATTATAATCAAAACATGCATGTAACTTGATTCAAACATTTAAAAACATTTCTAAGTAACAATATTATCAGAGTTAAATCCCAAAATCATGTATTGCAGAAAACACGGGTGTATGCGCTGCGATTAAGTCGGACCCTTCGCTTCCGAACTGGAAATACCTGAAACCAAACCACAAACTGTAAGCACGAAGCTTAGTGAGTTCCCCAAATATCATATATAACGCAAACATACTGTCAGACATATCTGGGTGCCCGATCTACCCCTTCGGTCTATTTCAACCGGATACTGCCGAGCATATCTAGGTGCTCGATCTACCCTTGTCAGACATATCTGTGTGCCCGACCTACCCTCCGATTTATTCCAACCGATTACGGGGTCTATCTCACCCCTACCACTACCATATAAAATCATGCATATCTCACATAAACATCAAACAATACATACCACCTTAATAATTATCACAAAGACAATCATTAAGCTATATCAATACTAGTAGGCCGGCCTTGGTGCCTTCGACCCACGAATTCTACGAAGGGAGACTCACCTCGAATGCAGAAGCTCACAGAAATAGATCCCTAGCTGCTGCCCTGACGACCTCTCCGTCTATCAATACCAAAATATCACCCAATTAGCAATTAGGTTCCAGACCATGATCCATAATCCATGCTTGGGGTACAATGACCATTTTACCCCTGGCCCAACAAGACTCACAACTAAGGCCCAAGCCCAAAAGTAAACAAGCCCAAAACTCCAAGATCCATAAAAGGTCCACTAATAGCCCAATTTTCCAAATTGGGACCCAACCCTTACACGGGCCTTACCCTAAAGCCCAATAACTTATTCCTAATCCAAAACACACATCCACAGCTGGTCCAACAAACCCAAAGCAACACAAGCCCAAACGATAGCCTAAAACCCGAAATGTCACCGCAAGGCCCAATAAGGCACAAATACCCCAGTTAGGCCCAAATCCATCATGGACCTACCCCAAGAAGGCTCAATATCCAAAAAGGCTTGAAATACTGAAGGGTCAACCCTAGTCAACTCCTGGTCCAAGGTCCAAAGCCCAAAAAGTCAACAATCCAAGAAAGTCCAATCTGGTCGAGTACGCCCTGCGTACTCAGCTGATACGCCCAACGTACACCCCTTGGGGCCAGTACGCGCAGTGTACCAGATGTGTACGCCCAACGTACTCCTCAGAATCCCAACCATCTCAAAAAAGCACTTAATCACTTAAGACATTGCTCCAAACTCTCAAATCTGATTCCCATAGATGACTTAATACGTAAAGTTGGCAACTTTACTTACATACATGGCTTAATGGGACTCTATAGCTCAAAAGAGCTCAATGAAACGTCTTAACACATGCATGAGTCCAAGTAAACCATAAAGATCACATTTTTATGCCTTTGGGACACCTAAAACGCCCATATCCACAATATCAACTTCTGAAACAACAAGCCCACAAGAACTACCCAAAAGAGGCTAAAATGGCTATGAACAAATCCAAAAGAAGATCTATGAAATGAGAAGACAAGATCAAAGCTTTTTACCTCCAATGGACTGCAAAAGATGGAAAACCTCTGGATCTACAAGCTCTTTACGAAATAGTGAGTCTTCAACCTTCTCCTTTTCATGCACAAGCCACCACAAACACTCTTCCAAGCTCCAAGACTCACTTAGGCGCTCTAGGGTTTCGAAGTAGAAGAGAGGGGGAAGGAGGTTGACTTAAAGACCCAAAGGAACGCCATAAAGATGATTATATAGGGTAGAAACCCCAAAATTAGGGTTTTGCTCTGAAGGGAGTACGCCCAACATACTCTAAGACCCGCTGCGACCATTCATCCTTCTACGCCCCGCGTACTCATTGAACCCCTAACACTCTAAACTTTACTTAACTCTAACTTCTTCGTCTTAGGTCCATTTCCTACGAACCTTATATCCACAAAAAGGTGGCGAGAAGCCCTACGCTTCTATCAACATATCCAAGCCTTAAAACCTCGCGGACAAAACCCAAAATCCATAAAAGGTCGAGATAACAAATTACGATTTTTGAAACACCCAAAAAAAAATTTTCCAATTAACTTTAAAACTCATTCTAAATTCATCAAAACATTACATACTGGTTTTCAAAATGTATAATATCAGAGTTTTCCCAGAAACATAAACAAAACATGAGGAGCTGTACGATCACGCCTTCGCCTTGCCTCGATCCCCTGATGTACCTGAAACAATAAACTGAAAATGTAAGCCCGAGAGCTTA